GTCCACTGTCAGAGGCCATAAGAAGATCATTTGTAACCTTCACTAAAGCTGTTTCTGTGCTGTGATGAACTCTGAAACCTGACTGAAACTGAAACCTGACTGAAAGTAAAAATTACTAGAAATATGGTATGTACATTTTAAACAAATATGTAGGACTGCTTTTTTTTCCATTTGCACAGTATCTCTAAAATTAGAAATATCCTGTCTCAGAGTGATGCTGAAAAACTAGTTCATGCATTTATTACTCCACCTGGGCCTTACACAGAGTTGATGAACTGATTTAGTGCTCTGTTCAAATAAAATAATTATTATGGGTGATATCCATGTAGATGCTGAAAATGACAGTCTCAATCAACGTGGTATTTAATATTTTATTAGATTCAATTGGCTTCCCTCAAGAGGTGAAAAAATTGACGAAAAGCACAGTTGAGCAAAGTATTCCTTTAACGTCAACTAGGAATGACTTAATGAATTTATTCACAAATCAAATTTTAACAATTAGAGAAAAAATTACTCATAATGATCTCACAGATCTAACATTATCTACACATACTTTGAGTACCATTTGTATTTATTCAGTCTTTTTTTCCAATTGACCTTTCTGAGTTAACATAAGTAATTACTTCCTCCAAACCATCAACGTGTCTTTTAGACCCCATTCTTACAAGACTGCTGAAAGACTGTTGCCTATGTACCGCAGGCCTTCAAGCTGGCAGTAGTTAAACTTAAAAAGCCGTTACTTAAAAAGCCATCTCTTGACCCAGCGGTTTTAGATGTTTATAGGCCAATTTCTAACCTTTCATATCAAAAATTGTCAAACAGATCATCTGCAGACAAATGGCTTAGTTGAAGAGTTTCAATCAAGTTTCAGAGCTCATCAAAATACAGAAACAGCTTTAGTGAAGGTTACAAATGATCTTATGGCCTCTGACAGTGGACTCATCTCTGTGCTTGTCCTGCTAGACCTTAGTGCAGCATTCGATACTGTTGACCATAATATCCTATTAGAGAGATTAGAACATGCTGTAGGTATTACAGGTACTGCGCTGAAGTGGTTTGTATCATATCGATCAAATAGCCTCCAATTGTTCTGTAGTTTCTGTGCCAGGACCAGTTTACATGCTTCCCTTAGGCAGTATCATCAGAAGGCATAGGATGAATTTTCACTGCTATGCAGATGACACCCAACTTTATCTATCCATGAAGCCAGATAACACACATCAATTAGTTAAAACTGCAGAAATGTCTTAAGGCATAAAGACCTGGATGACCTCTAATTTTCTGTTTCTGAATTCACAAAAAACTGACGTTATTGTACTCAATTCAATTCAATTCAATTTTATTTATATAGCGCCAAATCACAACAAAAGTCGCCTCAAGGCGCTTCAGAGATACAGAGAAAAACCCAACAAT